GCTTTGGGCTCCCCTCCTGCAGCACCATCTCTGCCCTGGACTGGGCCCTGCTCCTCCTGGTCCTGCTCCCAGATGAGTGCTTGGGGCAGCACTGGGGGTGGCAGCAGGAGTAGAGTCAGGCCCCTGATGCCCAGTGCCAGGTGCCCCAGAGCCACGTTGGGGCAGGTGAGGGGGGCTCTGGGAGGCTGTGGGGAGACATTTGCATCCCATGGGTCACCCCCCTATTCCCAACATGAAGCTCAACCCCACCCTGACCCTCCTGCCTCAGCTCAGGCCATGCTGGCCCCTCTGGGCCACCTCTAGCCCCAGCTCCTTCTCCCATGGCCCAGCCCCTGCAGCTTCCCTGCCACCAGCACCTCTTCCACCTTTCCTAGGCTCTTTCCTAGGCCTCTCTCTTGGGATCTGGGCGCACTTGCAGACATGTGCCCAGGAGCTTTGCTCCCAAATGGCACATGTAGATGCTCCCACTGACTCTCACTATGCTGCAGACAAGACCTTTCCTGGGTCTATGGGAGCCCTTGGAAGCAGCATATTCATTTACTACAGCCTTGATATTTTATAGATTTCATCGATGCTAGAGTTGGAAGGGATCTGAACAGACCATAGAGTTCGACCCCCTGCCCTGGGCAGGAATGAATATTGGGGTCAGATGACCCCAGACAGTTACCTATCCAGCCTTCTCTTGAAGACCTCCAAGGTAGGAGAGAGCACCACCTCCCTTGGAAGCCTATTCCAAATTTTGGCCACCCTTACTATGAAGACGTTTTTCCTGATGTCTAACCTAAATCTGCTCTCTGTCAGTTTGAGACCATTGCTCCTTGTTACCCCAAGAGGTGGCCTGGTAAACAGCATCTCCGCTTCCTTGATGTTCCCCCTTAATGAATTTGTAGGTGGCCACAAGATCACCTACCAGCCATCTTTTGCTGAGGCTGAAGAGGTCCAGGTCCCTTAGTGTCTCCTCATAGGGCTTGACCTGTAAACACTTAACCGTACAAGTGGCCCTCCTTTGGACCTTCTCAAGGTTATCCACGTCCTTCTTAAAGTGCAGCGCCCAGTACTGGACGCAGTACTCCAACTGCAGTCTGACCAATGCCGCATAGAGGGGAAGGATCACCTCCTTGGTTCTATTTTTCATGCATCTGCTGATGCATGATAAAGTGAGGTTAGCTTTGCTGATGATTTCATTACACTGACGACTCATGTTCATCTTGGAGTGTACTATATCTCTGAGATCCCTTTCTGCTTCTGTGCTGCCGAGAGGGTCATTCCCCAGCCAGTAAGCGTGCTGGATATTTTTATGCCCTAGGTGCAGCACTCTGCATTTGTCCTTGTTGTACTGTATTCTATTGTGTTCTGCCCACTTTTCCAACCTGTCCAGGTCTGCCTGCAATTGTTCCCTACCCTCCAGAACATGCACTTCACCCCGCAATTTAGTATTATCCACAAACTTGGACAGAGTACACTTCACGCCCACATCCAAGTCACCGATGAAGACATTGAAGAGTACAGGTCCAAGGACCGAGCCCTGTGGGACCCCACTACCCACATCCGTCCAGGTCCATACTGACCCGTCTACTACCACTCTCTGGGTGCAACCCCCTAGCCAATTTTCCACCCACTGGACTGTGTAAGCATGTAAGTCAGAACCTCTAAATTTATTTATGAGAATGGGATGAAATACAGTATTGAAGACCTTCCTAAAATCTAAGAAAACGATATTCACCTCTACTCTTGCATCTAAGCATTTTGTGACCTGGTCATAAAACAAAACCAAATTAGTCAGGCATGATCTGCCTGCTGGAAATCCATGCTGGTTGACCTGCTGCATTATTTTTCCCGCTGGACTCGCACAAATATGATCCTTAATAATCTTTTCAAAGACTTTTCCAAGGATGGAGGTGAGACTGACTGGCCTATAATTACTCAGATCCTCCTTCCTCCCCTTCTTGAAAATAGGGACCACATTGGCCCTTTTTCAGTCCTCCAGGACCTGACCCGAGCATCATGAGTGCTCAAACAGCCGTGCCAGTGGTTCTGCTATGACACCAGCCAATTCCTTCAGTACCCTTAGATGAAGTTCATCCGGGCCTGCTAACTTGAACACATCAAGTCCATCCAAGTGACTCTGCACTAAGTCAGCATCAACAGCTGGTAGGCTGGTGTCCCTCTGATGCCCAACTAAGAACCCATTAGGAGACTTATCTTGACCCTGGTTCAAGAACACTGAGACAAAAAACTCATTGAAGAGCTCAGTCTTGTCCCCCCTGTCTGTCACTAATTGCTCCTGCTTATTCAGTAGGGGTCCTATGCTGCCCTGCGCCTTCTTTTTACTCCCTACATACCTAAAAAAAGAGCGCAGCTGGTGACAAGAGGTGGAAAGAAGGAAGGCTTAGATGCCACAAGTTGCCACAGCACCGAGGGACCCCATGTGCTCACACTTACTAGGATCTCTGCATGTATCAGGCCCGGGAACTGGACCTCAGAGGGGAAAGATCCCACATGGACAGTACCTGCATGGAAGTAGTAATAGGATCTGCCATCTGAAACCTGAGCCTGCTCCAGCCTGAGGAAGGGCTCAGACTCCTCTGGCAAGTGGAGGGGGAAAAACCCTCAGGGAAAATGGAAAGCAATGACTAGGTAAACGGGCAGAAGGCTGTGCTAAAGCAAAACCAAAGCAGCTTCTCTGCAGTGAAGCCCTTAAGTGAGTTAGGAGCAAATTTCATAAGGATTTGCAGCACTAATAAATTCTCCTGTCTTTTTATTACATGTTACAGATTACACACCTATTCAATGGTGGCTTTTCCTAATACACACTAAGGGGTAAATCCATCCTTCACCTCTGTGTGCAAAACTGTCCATGTGGCACAGGCTGTTGAGTGAATGATCTGTACTGAAGATCACAAATGTAGGTCCTTCTATTTGGAGTTGATGTCACTGTGTGTTCTGTCCATTTTGAAGGCAAGAATTTCCCAGTCCTTCTCACTGAACCAGTCCTGATGTTTCTTTGTGGAGAAGTCTCGAGATTTTTGGCACGCCTCACGGATGCCTTTCTTGAAACTCTCGCTCTTTCTCGAGGGATCAGTGGTGTCAAGAGCATCAGGGCAGTTGGCATGATTCTCTCAGAGGCACCGCTGAAGGTGATGTTCTTTAGCAGGGTTTTGCAAGCATTTGAGATTGAACCTTTTCTTTAGTTGCTTCTTTGGTTGACATCATTTTGTGGCCGTACAGATGGACATGATGGAACATATCAAACAAGGATCTATCCAGCAGCCTTTGGGCCTGGTTTTCTCATTGCCTTCTTCTCGTGTCCCACATGAGATAGTTGATGGCAGGGATTCAGAAGAATCTGCAGATTGTTCGAATGAGAGCGGGCCACGACTTGAGTGCTTCTGCTATGGCTGTTACGGCAATCGGAGTCCTGCACTGCTCTAGTTGTAGCTGTGCTGAGGTGGACTTTGCAATGCACTATGATATAGTCAGTTAGGAGCCAGGCTTTTGAGCAGGGGTGCTTGCACAATGGCTTCCACTTGCTGCTTTGTAATTTATTCAGATGGATACAGCAACTGAATAGCAGAACAGGCTCTAAGCAACCTATAAGCAATGGCACTAAGGGATAAGACTAGAGTGACATTTCTAGGTATGATATCCATGGCAAGTCATCGTCAGTAGCCTGCTGCAGGTCTTCAATACAATCATTAAAAAGATAGATTGGACATGCCTCCATGATGTGCTACAGTTTGTATCTCACCACACTCACACTTGGCATCTTTAATAAAATCTCATTTATGAAGTAGCTAGTTGTCCACCCTGTTCAATGTAGTCCAGCTCTGCCTTAGTAAAACAAAGCCAGGAGGTTTAGATGTGGGGTCCATAATAAGAAATGTATTAATGGGGTCAACTGTCTTGCATCGCTGGGGCCATTTTCCTCGATATCAAAGCTCTCATGATTCAGTTCTTTCCCACACTCCAAATGGGCTTCTTGAACATAAGCCTTGGAGTTTGTGGGTCATCAAGTCCTCAAAAATTAGTAGTGAATTGAATATAGGCAGCTTTTTTGAAGACTCTTTATTTAGCCTCTTGATATCGAAGATGG